AAAAGTCTCACAGATTTTCCTGCCAGGGCTGGCTTTGAACAGCAAGCCTCAGATCTCAACCTCCTGAGTAGCTAGGATTACAGGCATGAGCCATCAGTGCCTGGCTTCATCTGTTTTCTTGCTATGCATTTTGCTGTTACCTGATTTGTGTCAAATGCCAGTCAAGGTCCTAACACATAAAAAGGTATTAGACAAATGTGACTGAGTCCATGAAGTCAGTACTTCAATCGTAGCAGAGGCTGAAGACAGAATAGAAACTCTGTACAGCTAGTGCCAACCATGGGATTTCAAGGTGCGCAACACCTTCTTCCTTGTCTCAGCTTCTGGACACACCCAGAATCACTGCCCTGGAGCTCAGAGAATCAACCAAGCAAACATACTATTTGTTCTCTGAGCAGCCTGGGCCCTGTTTTGGCTTGCATGTTTCCCTCTGCCTACTACATATATTAGGAGGGTCAGTCACTGTGACTAATACCTGAGAGAGACAGTTAAAAGGAGGAATTACTTATTTCAGTTCTCTCTGTTTCAGAGGTTTCCGTCTATGGTCAGCTGGGGCCTGAAACAAGGCATAGCGGGGAGCACATGGCAGTAGCAGGGCTGCTCACTTTATGGCAGCCAGGAAGCATAAGTGTGTGTATGTGTGTGTGTGTGGTGTGTATGAGAGAGATAGAGACAGAGAGACAGAAACAGAGAGACAGACAGACAGACAGGAGCCAGGGCCTATCTCTCCAGGACATACCTCTAGTGACATATTTCCTCCAATTAGCTCCCACTTCTGAAAGTTTCCATCACCTCCCACGAATGCTATCAAATTATAATTCTGATGGTGGATGAATCCACTGATTAGATCAGAGCCCTTTCAGTGATTTACCTGTCAGTGATTGTCTCACAGAGAGATGCTAAACCATCCAATCTGGATGGATTCCTGAGTCAGAAACAAGGCAGCATGAGCATCATAGTTAGGTCTATTCTCCTTCACCTCAGCACGTATGGGGACAGTATGGAGAGTCCTAGATGCATACACATGGACTGAGGCCTTGTTGAGCAGCAATGAACTTGAAGTACCTGCCACCTCCATTCCTATGGTAAACAAGCCTCCTCTTTGGGAGAAGATCTTCCTTCATCTCTCAAAGTTTCTGGCTGCAAACACAACCTGGAGGAATGGCTGGCTAAAGAGCAAATATAATCTTATATTCTTGGCATACCCAAAGATAACATCCAGGCAGCTCTGAGGACTACTGTTCCCAGAGCCTGTCTCCTATGTCTGCTTATCCAAATTTTATTCATCCTTCAATGACACTGTGCTCTTAGAAACTCTCCAGTTCTTCCCCTTTGAATTTTCTTTTCTTTTTTTTTTTGGATATAGTCGCGGGGCCTGAACTCTGGGTCTGGGCGCTGTCCCTCAGCTCTTCAGCTCAAGCTCTACCACTTGAGCCACAGCACCACTTCCGGCTTTTTTTTCTTTTTGCTTATGTGGTGCTGAGGAATCGAACCCAGGGCCTCAGGCATGCAAGGCAAGCGCTCTACCACTGAGCCACCTTCCCAGCCCTGAATTTTCTTTATAACCCTCCTTTCTACCTCTTTGATGTCCATAAGCATTCTTCTACTTCCAGCAGAGTGCCAACATTTGAGTGCAGGACCACAGCTAGGTGTTTGTATCTAACAGGTGCTTAGACCAGATCTATTGAGTTGGATGGAATCAAGATTTTTTTTTCCTACATGGCTATGCTTTTCCAGAGAATGTGTTCTATCACCCCTTGGAATGTTTTCAGGATTCCAGAGGCTAAAAATATCATGGTCCCAAAGCCACTGCAGAATGTTTCCTTGTAAGGATCTAGGCATGTCTCCTGTAGCTGAAGCTTGGTCCACCACAAGGTGGCACCATAACCAACATATTCTGATCCCCTTTTTAGAAGAGGATTCTCTTCCTTGTATCACTTAGTATCCCTGCTCACAAAGATTCCATTATCCAGTCCAGTACCCCCAGATTCAGCCACTAGCTGCCAGTCCAAGCTTCAGCCTTAGTAAAGAGCAGTATTCAGAGGACATGGAGGATGTCAACTCCTAGAGTTAAAGGATGCTGAGGGAAAAATTCCAAGATTGGCATCAGGAGTTTTAATTCCATCAGTGCCACTTGCAAGTTGTGTTTCCCGGGGCAAGTCACTTTCCCTTCCTGGGTTCTCATGAGAGTAGCTGAGGACAAAACATGGGAAGGACATAAAAGCACTTGGCATGAGGATGTGGAGACAGTTCCACCTGGACTTCTGCTTAAACTGTCCCTACCAGCTCTGTGAATGCAGTCAACTTAATCCCTTTAAACTCTGCTTTTCCCCTCAGTGACCAATCAGCTATGAAGAGTCATTTCATAGGTTGGTATAAGGATTAAGTAGAAAAATGAATATAAAGTACTTAGCATGTAGTAAGCATTCAGTTTATTGTAAGGTCCGCCCCTGGATGGCAAGCAGACTCTACCCTCCTCGCAGCAAAGTCTCCACCCATTACCTGCGTTACCTAGGCAACTGGGACACCTGGAAGAGGTCACATCTGCATCCGCTGAGGTCACATCTGAATTTGATGTGGCCACACCTTTCCCCGCCCATACCCTACATAAGGCCTAGCCCAGGCCCAGACGTTCTCTTGCTCTTCTTTTCTCTCACTCTCTCTCTTGCTCTTCTTTTCTGCTCGCTCTTGCTCTTGCTACTCTTTTCTTGCTCTCTCTCTGTTCTTTTCTTGCTCTCTCTTTGTTCTTTTCTTGCTCTCTCTCTGTTCTTTTCTTGCTCTCTCTCTTTCCCAGCCACGTGGAGTGCCAACCTTGCCTGGTCCCAGGTCTACCCCTTACCTGAATACTACGTGCGTGCTAATGCAGTTCTTACTCGGCTACCTCTTTTTAAAAACCTAACATTTATAAAACCACACATCTGACTCCCTAGCCCCTAAAACCATGCCCAACACTAAGTAAGTGCTTGACATTTACTTGCTGGGTAAAATTATTTTACAGATGAGGTACAAAGAGGTGATATAGAGGTTATGCCTTACCGTTTGTTCATTTTTATATGCATTCAGAGCTTTCACAAAACACTATGTGGGCTGAGGAGGCAGCAAACAAGTATTCGCTTCCTGAGGAGCCATAGAAGACCCGTTCCCCCCAAAGCAGTGGATGCTTCTCAGGAGATGCAGGATTAGCTTTACAGTCTGCTGCACAACTGATGCAAACATGGTTTCCCTGACTAGAAGAGTTCTCTCAGTTCTATTGTCATTCCTGTGCCACTCAGACACAAATTCCACCCACATTACTGAGGGTTTCCAGTGCCAGGCCCAGGCAATGACAGGCATGGTAACCAATGGCTATGATGCAGCAGAAGTAGAAGTATCTCAGAGGAATGGTCCCAACAGAGGCTTAGAAGAGCAAGTAATTAACAGTATGGGAGGAAGGAACAAAACTCAGCAGTATTTAAAATGGGCAATGAAGGCTAAGTAGGAGGTCTAGAAATGAAGAACATTTTGAGTTTGTTTGGAAAACAAGAGCATTCTGGGTGGGTACTTGGGTAAGGGAAGGAAGTGGAAAACCAGTAAGTTGAAAGTTGGCTGGAGATAGATTGTGAAATATGCCACATAGAAGAGACAGACCTCCATGCTGTGTTTGGTGTGACAGTATGTAAGGAGCAAACAGGTCTGTTCTAGAAAATGGCTCAAGTGCAGCAAGGCTGGATCTGATGGAAGGAGAAGAGAGACGAATTTTAAATATGTATCCTGTTCCCATCTGCTCTAGACTTAACCAGGACAATAGTCGTTTGTATCTTTTAGGTTGTTCTGAGCTTAAATGAGGATGCACACAGAGCACTGGGACAGTAATAACAATAATGCAACACATCATTGGCTTCATTACCCTTCAGCTGGCTGTTTGGCTGGGTAAACACATGGGCTGTGTTATCTTCTAGAGCTGGTTTTCCTGTGATTCCAGATTAGGGCATCTTTTAAATCTAGGCAAGATGTAAAGGTGGCCTGGAGGGGCTGTTACACAAGACTGGGGTCAGTCACTGTAGTTTGTGTCCATTGGAGAGACAGTTGGGGCCTGTGGTATATTAAAGTATGCTCGCCCTAGAACTCCAAGGTGAGATCGCCTGAGCCCAGCCAGCTTCGCACAGGATGAGTATGTAGTGGGCTCAGGGCAGGATATTGCAAAAGTCCAGGTGAGAAAGGTCAGTCTAGCACCAGCCCTGCTCCCATCCTCCCTCCTGCCTTGCCCCAGCCCCTGGAGCCCGAGTTGGGCCAAGAAGCCAAGGAGTAGAAAAATGACTGGACAAAGAAGGAAAAAAAAGGGTCCTGGCTGGAGGCTGGGAGAACACTGGCGAAGCTGGCTTCCCCCCTGAAGCTGGGCCTGAGCCCAGGAAACAGGCCGGGTAGGGACAGCCCCAGATGTAGCAAACTGGGCCCAGCGGCGAGGGCGGCAGCGGTGGGCAGGCCCGTGGCAAGCTAGGGGGGTGAGGGTGCGGGCGCGCTCCACCCTGGCCTGCAGACCAAGGAATCAGAGCAGGGAGTGAGGCGAGGGGGGGGGGGCGCGCCAGGGTGGAGATGGAGACGGAAAGAGCGATGGCAGGAAGCCGGGAGGAGCGAGCAGGGGTGGAGACCGTGGAGAGGAAGGGAAAAGGGCGGGCAAGAGGGGTGGAGGGGTGGAGAGAGGGAAAGAGAAAAAGAGAGGAGGAGAGAGGGGAGGCGGGGTAGGGGGAAAGGGAGAGGCTGGGAGAAGAACCGGCTGGGGAGTCGGGCGCAGCGGGCACTCGGGGCAGTCGCGCCGGGCCGTCCCCGCCAACAAGGCGCCGCCATTCCG